CTAGCAAGGAGCCTGCCCATGAATTCCCTCCCGATTTTCAGAGCTTAGCTCATGTCTTCAGGCTTCTCGGCGCCTCCGACTCGTTCCCTTCTTTAGATCAACTGGGGATCACATTCCTGCTACGTAGGCCGAGGTCACGGTCGTGGCAACCACCGTGGACGAAGTTTGTGAACGCTACCCACGTACGGGAGCTATGGGGGCTCATAAACGCGGAGCGCGTTAGGCCATTGGCGGAGCTGCGTGTAGCGCAAGCTGATTATAGGATGACTGATACTGGTGAGCGTTTACATGGACAAGAGTATCCCTCACTACGCGAGAGGCGATCATTCAAAAGATGGTTTCGGGCTAGTCATATCAAGGGAGAGAGACACGGTACGGTAGAGTCTTGTCAGGTAGAGGAGAGGGGACAAATATTTCGGCTCGTGCATAGACGATGATGGGTGGGGTGGAGTGGGGTTTGGCGGATGAGGCTGCAACTTCGTGCTTTAATGTCCTGCGATCAACTTGTGGAAAGAAACGATCTTTACTGCACGTACTATTTTATCAGAGGGACTATATTGAAGTCGAGAACGTAGCGCACTTGACAATATTGCGTCCGTCCACTTCCCTTCTCGTGTGCATTGAGCGGTGATTTCGCGGACAGCACCTTGCTTTCTTCTCGAAGTTACGCCACGAAACGTATCCATCCTCATGTTAGAATCCTGATCAAGTCGAAGTGTCCACACCCTTCGTGCGCATCCGATCTTTTTCTCCCCAATCCTGGGCCTTCTGTTCTTAGCTCCCCGATGCGTTCGAGACTCACGCCGAAGTTGCTTGCAATCAAACGAATGCTTATGAATATGATACGATGCGACAATCCAAACAAACTTATATCTATAGCTACATGTAGTATGATCCAAGAAGAAAACGGGGGTATAGGAACGACAGGCATCGATCGTCCTAGTTCAGCAGCAAAGGGAGCAGCGAAAGGAATATAAGGATACAGTGAGAGAGCAAAGAGGCAGGTGGACGTGTTTTGTGGTCATGAGGAGACGCGAATCGTGAGTGGAGATGAGGGGAGGGAGAATAGAGTGATGGTGGATACAGTAGGTCGTCATCGAGACGTGAGACGAAGGAAAGCACAAGATAGCGACGAACGGAGAAACAGGAAAAGAGAAAAGAGAAATTATTCGCAGGCGGGAGAAGGACGAGCAAGGAGAGAAAACCTCCCCTTCAAACAGTTCCAGCAACCCTATGGTCAAACCGATCATACTCGCCCCCATACCCAAGCATTAACCCACCCTCCCCCGCACCCCTCGCCACGAACGAAACATCTACCTCCCCACCCTCCCCAGGCACAGCATCAACAGCAACAGGCATCATCCCCGCTCCTCCCGCGCCATCCATCGCAAACGGCCCCAGTGCGAATCCCGTATTAGGATCCAAGCCGAGGGAAGCAGCGAACGCTGGGTCGAAAGCGAACTGTCCCTGGGCGCCGAAACCCTTCCACTGCTGTGTCTGCTGGGACTGGGTGTAGATGAACCTGTATCCCTGGGGAAGACTCGCTGGCTCAGAAGGCGACGGCGAGGCATTGGACGACGTGCTCAACGACGGCGCAGCCGCGAGCCAATCCCCACCAGTCGAAGTCTGATGCGGCGCAAGCCCCGCAGCGCGGTCAAAGTCAAACACATCGCACCCCTCTTCCGACTCGATGGAGGGAGAAGACGGGTCGAGAGGCGCCTGGGAGGGAGGCGAGGCAGCAGTGTCACTAGCTGAGAATCCGAAGGAGGACGAGAAGAGTGAGTGGTCGACTTCTGGGAGAGCTTCGGGGTCGCGGACGAGGGTGTGTGAGCCGGCGTTGAACAGCTCGCCGGTGGGGGTGTAGTCGAATGGACTCGAGTCGTACATGTTGAACTGATTCTGGGCTAGTCCGAACATGGGGCCGGCGGAGCTGGCTCGTCGAAGGCCGAGGTAGTTGCGAGTGATGCTATCGGGGGTGAGAGGGCGGGAGAGGGACATGGAGGGACGCTGGATCCAGGTATCGGCGTTGAGGGGGTGGGAAGGCTGTGGTGCGAAGAAGGTGGGGATGGAGGGAAGAGTAATCCCAGAGTGCTGCTGGTAGTCAACGTTCGTCGGACCCATGAACATCTGGTTCTGACCGTAGGGGTATGATGGGACGGGGAGTGGTACAGACGACGAGCGGCGGTGGCCACGGTGATGAGCGGGCAAGGGGTCGTAGTAGGACGGCTGTGGCTGATGAAGGTGAAGGTCGGCGCCACCGGTGGTCGGATACAAATCGGGGACGAGGAACCCGGGCTGCTGTTGTGGCTGTGGCTGTACATGGGCATCCCAGTCCTGCATCTTCCTCCAACGCCTCATCTCATCCATCTCGTGAACAGCGCGCGCCAGCTCATCGCCCTTCTTCCCCTCCAACAACAGATACGCAACCTCCTCGCAGCGCTCCTCCTCCTCGGCAGTGATGGGCAGCTTCCTCGACTTGGGAGCAGCGGTGGGGGAAGAGTCACGGGTAGAAGTGGAGGGCTCGAGCTGAGAACCTGAAGCGTCGCCGTAAAAGTCATCCCCAGTGGCACCGGACTCCTCGGAAGCGACAGCGGCCTTGTCCTTGTTCTTGTTCTTGTTGTGAACGGGGCGGAAGCGATAATCAGGATGCGCAATCTTATGCTCAGCCTTTGCCGTCTTCGCACGTTGCTCCCACACCCGCTTCTCATTCGGCGGTAGAGAGCGCCAGCAGTTGCCTATAGGAGAAACAACACCACCTCAGTGTCACGTTACACTTCTAACAAAAACGGCGAGGGGGAGCACATACCGATGATCTTCGACAACGATCCGTGGTTCGTCTCGATACTCCCAGGCACATGCTTCTGCCTCACAAAGTCAGCTCGAAAGAGCATAAAAGCGTTGGGAGGACGAGGGATATATCCTTGGCTCCTTCGCTTGCCAGGTGGGCACCGTTTCCGCCTAGGTGCAGGAGCAGGAGTCGCACTGGGTGGGAAAAGAGTGGCACCGTCCATTCCATCAAGAGGAAGGAGCTGCGACGACGACGATGGGGAGCCTGAGGGAGACAGGTCGGTATTGCGATCGTTGCAAGTGTCGACGTAGGTGGTCGGCGTAATGTTGGGCGCGAAAGTGACTGGACGAGGGTTGGGGTGGATGCCGTAGTAACCTCCTCGTGGAGCGGCGAGCGAGACTGTGGGGGAGGGGGGGGAAGGAAGCGAAAAAGTTAGATTATGTCGTCGAGGTCGGATGTCAGAAGGAAGTAGTAGTAAAGTTGACATACCATTCGCAAGACTTGATCTCCTCCTTCGGGCTTCTCGACTAGCAGGCATGTTGTTCGATCGAGGAGTGAGTAGCTAATTGTCCAAGGACAATGGAGGATGGAGAACAAAAGAGAGAACAATAGAGGAGGCGGTGGTGAAAGGGAAAGCAAGGGAATCGGAACGAGGACCATCCTTTTTCAGCAAGATTAATCAGTGCATCAAACTTGCGGCATTCAGTTCGCGAGTGCCTAACGCCATGCCTCCGATGGCCGCTGCCGAGCATTCATCCACACAACCTATTTCTTCGTTACAGCCTTCCATTCCACCAGTCTTTGTCCACACACACGAATAACAAAACACTACCAACGAAACTACATCCCTCCCTCCTCCCTCGCTCAAAGGCAACGCTCCCAGCCAACGATCAGCCCATCCAAGTTATCCCCGGCATCTTCCCATCTGCCTTCCACAGAACCTTCCGTTCAGATCTCGACCCCCATCAACCTCGTGTCCACTCCCAGCCGACTCCGCCACCGGCGATGGAAGAAGCCCTTGTAACCTAATTCGGGAACTCGTTTGTTCTCTGGCTCCCTGGTGGAGGGGCAATGTGCCGGAAATGGATCTCCCTTTGTCGACGAGATGGGAATGGAATATACCACCCGCTCGTTGTTCAAGTGCGCGGACTTGGGAGCAGGATGAACGGCGGATGACGTGGCGTGGATTTTCTGTGTCGAACAAAGATCCTCGGTGTTGGAGGCGTTCTCGATGGCCCTGTGGTTTCTTTTCGACGAGAACTTTGCTGGGGTGAACAAGGCATATGTACATACTCATCACTAATTGATTAGCTTTTGGACGCTGGTCGCACTTTCGTCTCTCCAAAGTACACGCGCACAGTATCGACGCTGACGGTGATGCATGAATCTGGAACAGTTGGTCAGACTTCGCGTTGAAAAGCTTATCCCAAGAGTGCGCTCGAGAACAACTGCAGGTGTTCACCGACGCACTCCAAACTTCCAGCTCCAAGGACGACATCATAAACCATCGTAAATATTCGTGCATGACACTTTCAATTCGTGAAGAACCAACTGCCAAGCACTGGTCGTTTTTGACTGGCGCAAACAAACACAGGCCTAGGATCTGTGCCACTGAGCACTGTCAGCGGTGGAAATCACAAGAGGGAAGTCACTTTCATGACGAGTTTGGTTGCTCGAGAAAGAGCGGCACTCGAGCCAGAAGGGTTCGCAGCTCTTTGGCTCGGCAAAATTAAAGAGAAGCCTGACGTAGACTCAATAGATCGTCAACGCCGTAATTTCGAGACAGATCGGTCAACGAGTGCGCGTATATATACCAGTCGACCCAGCTTTTGGAACAGAACATTGGAGCCAGATGTCGTCAGTGGTCAAGCTGCGATAGACGGCTCACGTTAACAAAATCGGCAACATTCCGTTGGTCAAGGTCAAGGTTCTTGCGAGGTCGCGATTATCCAATCCACAAGATTTCGCATCCACACCCAAAGTTGTCAGCTTCAACGTCGAAGAGTTGGTTACTTGACTTAGTTGGCTCCTCGCTCAGAAAGAACTCTGAGCGATAGCTCACAAACCACAAAATTAGGATGGAGACTTCTGAGTGAAGCTTGAAGCTGAAGGGCGCCAAAGTCCAGACTGGCTGCTGGGGGCTAAGCTGTGCGGGTCTTGCTGTTGTTGTTGTTCCAAACAGCAAAAATGACTTCAGTTCTCATGCAGTAGTAGCCCACCGGGGGGGTCGAACCCCCAGCCTTCAGATCGCCAGCACTACAAGGTTGTAGACGAATAAGAGTCTGACGCTCTATCCGATTGAGCTAGGCGGGCTCATGACTTCAGCTCGCCGGAGGCAAAGAGATCTCGCGTGGTTCTGTCGCGGTACGACCTCGCGCTGCATCCGAATCGCGACTTTGCGATCCGGTGAACGTCGGAAACACGCTAGACTGGGCTCGAAGATAGACAAGGAGGATAGCGGATTGAGTCACAATAGTGCAAAGTATAAAAAGGGAACGACAGGACCATCGCGAAAGCAATAACAACCAGAAGAAACAAACCCACCCAATACCCCATACATACACATCACCTATACATCATCGCTCTTCTCATCACTGCAGCGCTGACCACCCTCCGCTGCCGCACCTGAGGAGCGCTTCTCGTCTCGTCCAGCATCCCTTCATCCCTCTGCAAGCTCCGCGCGTACATGTACTGCAGCAGCTCCTCCGTCTCGCCCGCATCTAGCTCCTGCAGCTCCAGGGAGCCATCTACTTGTGGCGCAGCAGGGTACTCGAGCATCAGTCGAGGGTTCGGCGATTGAGTCGGCGGTGTGCTTGGAAGTAGGAGCGGAGACGATAGGATGATATCGCAAGGCGGAGGAGATGCTGCTCGAGAAGGCGAGAGGAGGTGGGACAGCACCGGAGAGCCAAGCGTAGGCGAGCGGAATGGCGTGGATACACCTGGAAGTTCGGAGCTCCATGATAGCGGGGAGAGGTCCGAGAGGTCCAACAAAGCGACGTCTGTCTCGACCTCGTACGGTATCCGACCAACGGGGAAGAAGTTGCGGAATAAGGGGAGGAGTGGGTCGGATCGCCAGATGCAGCTCGACAGTGGTAGTGACCGGGTGTACCTGATTAGGGTGTTGAATCAGCCAGAGGAGTCTCCATGAGTGTAACGGTGAACGCAGCCTACACAACGGTATTCCCCGCAACAGTGACATGCATATGCCCCAGTAGGTCGTCAGAAACGGCAATGGTGTCGGTGTAGCCAGGTTCCTCGAACAGTTCCGCCGTCAGTTTGTCGATCGGATGTCCGGCTAGAAGCACTCGCATGTCGAGGTGCTGGCCAGCCATACAGAGCACGCATGGGCTATAGTTGAGCTGAATGGTCAATGACGCGCCTGAAGGAAGCGGCTATTACTCAACACTCACTCCAGCGTTGCTCTCTCCGCCTGGGCCCGATCACAGAGCGCCTCTGGCCGCTGGACCTGTGCCAGCGCCCACTTAGCCACGAGCTCCGCCTGTTGCTGGTCCCGCTGAAAGGAGTCGATATCTGTCACGACGATAGGATATACAGCAGAGTTCTCAGGGTCGTCCAAGCCCAAGGAGACCTTCCATAGTTGCTCGTAGTTGTGCAAGAGCGTCGTGAACTGGCTGTAGCAATGGTCGTCGTCATTTCCTCTGATATTCTGAGATACGCAGGGCATTCTGGAGAGATCTGGCTCGAGGAGTGGTCCGAGAGAGCGATGTAAGTGGTGGTGGTGGTGGTGGTGGTGGTGGTGGTGGTGGTGGTAGTAGACGAAGGGGAGGGTGCGCCGATGCTGTGGGCGGCATCAGCTGAGACACGTTCCTATTCAGATGTGGTGGCGCTTGCTTACACCCATATACAGAACCGCTCTCTGCTGTGCGAGGCGTGTTGAACGTAACTACACAACTAGAAGCATTCCGGCGTGGACCATATACCCTGAAGCACGGAGTATCTGCCTTATGTTTACGAATAACATCCCTCTTCTCAGTATTCATGTCGAGGAGGTCAAAACCATGAAGCTCATGCATGGTACCGGTTCATCGACGACGGGAGCAAAGTGCCGTGACCTTGGTAGATATCTCCTTTTAGGAGAGTTGGCAGAGTCCAATAATCTGCGACAGCGATTGAGGAGTGGGGACATACTGTTAGTCTCCCATGATGCGCAAGGTGAGGATGGGTGTAGATGAAGAGAAGAGGTCAAGAGACATCGACGAGAGGTGGTATATTTGGTAACTCCGAGCCTGTAGCCGTGTTAAAACCAACTACGTCTGCTTCTCGACCTGAGATATATTGTGTAGGCAGTCCCATGGGCGCATAGACCACCCTCGTCTATAAAGATACGGACGCACCGAGCTTCGAGAGTGGCTCGGCCGAGCACCACAAGCTGTGTTACCTGGCAACAACGCTGGATCTGCGATTGCATGCTTTTGAGACACGCTTGCAGAAATGCTTTGACGAGTTCGCGAACATCAATAGGCCTTCGAGCATGGCGGACGTGCGTCGTGGCATTGTCCAGTGCAACTCTGGGACGGTATTGAGCGGCACCGCTGTCCAAAAGCAAATCGTTCCAAAGCTAACGTCTCGAGGTGGAGTGGGTGATGGCTTGAAAGAAAACTTGAATGATACGAAGACATGGTACACTGTTTGAACGCCAATAAAGGCTGTGTTGGGACTGCACCCTCGTTCAGAGCGTGAAGGTTGAAAGAAAGATTGCATCCCAGAGACACGTGGTCGTACGACGCTTTGCCTGAGATCTTGAATCATCTTCTGCCTCCCGCGCCCTGCCCTGTCGACTTTTTTAAATCCTGCTGGTAGTAGAAGCGTCTTGTTCATGGCACTTCGCGTATTTCGATCACCTCTTGAACCCATTCGTTTTTACCACTGAGCCTCCCAACTTCGAAGATGGTAGCCCTGCCATCAGTCAGAGTTACTTGCGATCCGTCATCACTGGCACACATCTATACGTTATTTAGAGTGACCAAGCCGGCGTCGACATCTTCCATCCTGTCTTCTCTCGCAAAGTATGAGGGAGGAATGGATGTATTACGAGAGAAAACTACTTGCTGTGCTTTATCTACACCACCTGGCCAAACTCACCATCAACCGACACCAGCACTTTCGCCCACCTTCCCTCGCTCCATCGCTTCAGCTCCTCCCGCTCTGGCAGGTGCAAACTGAACCACTTCATCATTGCTGCTACCACGATATCCAGGGTATCGCCCATCACGTATCCTCCCTCGTCTTTCACATCGTACAGCTTCGTGAACCTTTCCAAATCCGCCTGTAACAGCCTCAACTCCTCCGACCTTGCCTCTCCAGTCAAGTTCATATCCTGAAACGACAACACCCCAAAGTAAAGAGGTCTCGTATGCTCGTAGAAGTCTCTCCTCGCCTCGTTCAACTTCGCCTCGCATGTGATGAGCTTAAAGACATGCCGAACCGAGTCTCGCAGACGCTCCTCGAAAGCGTGGATGAACAAAGTACATCCCTGAGAAATGAGTCGCGGAGAATACGTGTACGTCTCGTCAAGATAGCGCGCGATGTTGAGAGAGTCGGAGACGATGCTTCCTGTGGAGGGATCGGAGATGACGGGGACGGGGTGATAAGTGATGTCACCGCGGAGGCGAACGGCGGGGAGGTTGAGCCTCTCATAGAGTGCTGTAAGGTCGGGAAGCTCGACCCATTCGATGCGATGTTGTAGGCCTTTGTAGTTGAGGCAGTACCTGGAGCGACTCAGGCTTAAGCGCGGTGCAGCACTCTGGAATCGATGCTTGGGGACATACGCTCTGTGAGCACGCTTGGTTGGAATGTGGGCTCGGAATATCGTAGAGAATCATGGGGTTGCTTGCATCCATGTTGGGTGAGACTATGGTGCAGATTCTACTTACTGTGCAGACAGGGGGATGGGCGTTGCGAGAAAACGAGCTGAAAAGTGTAATAGAGCTTTCTAAGCCGCTCAAACACGTGGAAAAACGTCAAGAGCGCAAGATATTTGTTTGGTGCGTGGCCCATCGGCTCATCAGCGAGCGAATGCAGCTAGACTGGGAAGAAAGACAGTGGGCGGGTGCGTGTTGTTGTGTGATGGATATGCAAGTCATGCTACCTGTACATGTAGTACCGCAGCCATCTCTTCGAGCACCTTAATTAATTACCACAGCCGCTGCAGTGATTACGAACAGCCGCTACAGTGATTACGAACGGTCATCTTTGTCGACGTCCCAGGTCCCTTTCAAGTCAGGCGTCGATGGGATCATAGTCCAGGCAGTCCAACCATCTCGCGAGCCAGCAATTTAGAAGGCTTCGAAAAGATTCAAACGAGTTCGTATCTCCTCCTCTCCCCTCACTCGCATCACCGCCAGAAGAACAGGACGCGAGCGAAGGGAGTTAGGCTCGTCATTGCGCATGTGTCATTGGTTAGTGTACAGTACCGAATCTGGGCGGTTCAGCTAGCGAAGCGGTGTCAGTCAGTACGCTGTGAACTGCGAAGAAGAATCTTTATTACCTTCGTCGACGTGTCAGCCTTGCAAGATCATACCACTACCTTCAATCCACTAGTACACAAGGACTGCCAGCTGCCGTACATCGCACACCTAGTCGCACAGCCCATCCACCCGACCCCATACCCTACTCACACCATAGATCGCCTATCAGTTCTCACGAGCATCGTTCCTCCGAGTCGTGCCTGGGTTCCCACCACCACCGTCGCATTTTACCTATACAGGGCGATTGGTGAGCCGAAGGAGATGCGGCTTGTCAGGTACCACCAGATGGGATGACAGCGACCACTAGATGAGATGCCAGCGAGTGTGAGCGCTTTAAGTTTGCCAGTCGAAGGTGACGCTGCCAGGTACCATCTCATGAGATAGCAGGTAAGTATCAACGACGAGAAGATGAACACGCACTGTACCTTGATGAACACCATTCACCGCCGGAGGGAGAAATACCGGACACGGTTCTCGTTATGGCAGAAGTCAGGCACAAAGTTCCCAAGGCCCGAAAGCGAAACCTTAGGATCCCGAGCACGAAACTGGAAATAGCCGGGTGCAGTGTCAATCCAACAACCTTCGTTCTGCAAGCCTCGTTCTGGAAGCCGGGCGTGGCGTATTCTAGAAAAGCTGCGGGACAACGGGCTGCATGGACAAGGTTCGAGTCGCACGATTGTACCGGGTGTTCTTGGTTGGGCATTGGATTTGGAGAGTATCGATGAGACGATAAGCAAGTAGCATTTGTTCATCGTTGAGGTAATACAAGACAGACAACAAACAACAGTAATAGGAGGGAGACAAGCGAGCTCGCATGGGTAATAA